AACAGATCTGTTCATTAGCAAACAGCCGTTCACAACGCTCAGAGACGACATCCATCACACGGAAATGCTTACAGCAGCAGCAGGAGGAGGAGGAGGAGGCGAGCTGCTTTACCGACAGTCTGAGAGGAAACCTGAGGCTCACAAACATCTGCAGCTCGTGGAGATACAAACTCACTCTGCTGAAGAAATAAAGAAACGCTCTGTTCAAAGACAACGTCCTGCATCCAAAAGTATTAACACTGGTATAAAAAATACATTAACTCAAGTGAGGTGCTGATGTACAATTTTTAGGAACTTTTCCTTGCTTTGTTTATTTAGTTATAACACATTAAAAGTTACCCTGCAGTATATTAAAACGTTAAAATGAGCTAAAAACTTTTACCAACTGCAAAGAATGTTAATCAATTACGCTTTCTTAGTTCAGCTGTGCGTCCACATAGCGTTTTTTCCAGCAGAAAATTGTTGGCTGTGCACTGGGTAGAACGTGCATGAAGCGTTGACAACAACAGTCTGTCTACAACGAGCTCCGTATGACCGACACTGCTCCGTTACTTATGACTGCATCTTTTTTTTTTTTTTCAAGGTGAGACACTGAACAAAGAGGATGTTGTTACAAGACACAATCCGTAGGCGGCAAAACTATAGTGAAAATGATACATTAGTAAAAGAGCGCCGGTGACATCAACAGCGCCTTTCTGAAAAGTTGAAGATCAGTTTTTTAACAGTTAATAAATCCTCTGACACATTTTATGTTGTCTAAAATATAATATCAAAGACATTTCTACAGACTAAACACCTCTGTTTTAAAATGTATCCATTATATTTTGTTTAATCTGTATGTGTTCATATTTTACTGTTAGTTTTTAATATATTTGTGGGATTGCTTTACTAACTTGCCAATTACTGCTCCGATGTTTTTACAGCTATTATATCTCACTATTATTTTTCTTCAAAGTTAAGTGCATTTTTTACATGTCTGGATACTTCTTCCCTCTCGTCTGCATGAAAATATGATTTAAGTTTGGCCCACACAATAAATGGCAATTTTATCATGCAATATGAGCATTTGTAAAAATATATATATGTATTAAGATTGGGATTTTATCGCAATAGGAAAAAATATTTAATGTAAATAAGCAACGCTCATGTGAACATTTGACCTGTTGAACAGAGGCCTGTGTGTTACAGCCATGCTCTGAAATCATTTTGATACAGTCAGATGAAGCACATGCTGTCTATCAAATAAGATAAGATAAGATAAGATAAGATATACTTTATTCATCCCAGCAGGGAAATGTAGGTGTTCCAGCAGCCAGCATACATACAAACACACAACACAACACATATAAACAAACATATCCCACCATACAAAAAACGTGAGCCCACAATACATAGCCAGGATAAAAAAGTGGTATGGATGGTCCATGTGCATAAGTAGCTGTTACTCATAGATAACAGTACAAAATACTAGCTATGCTAGTGCATAGTATGATAGATAAATAAAGAATTATTATAAAAAAGCAGTAAAGTGTGCAAATATACAGATGCAAAATATAGTTTGATATATGCAGCTCAGGCTAAAGTTTAAAAGTTTAAATGTTTTCTGTCCTTTTACCTCAGATTCATTCCCTCAGATTCATTCGTGACAATGTATTGGTAAAAAGATTTTTTGATTTTTGTCGCAATATATATCGCAAGACAGAAAAGTTAAAGCAATGTCAGTTTTTCATCCAATGATCTTCAGCCCTACTTAAAGTAACAAAAGTAAAAATTCTCATCAGACTGAATGGATCATTTCACAATAATGTAAAAAAAAATATTGTATTAAAGTTATGAAAGAGTTTCATAGAGCTGGAGCTTAATGTAAGGACTATAAATACAGCAGGGTAACTTTTGAGAGTTTTATCTCGACATACTTCAAAATGAATCATAAAAAAGTGAATATTAATGACTGAATTTTAAAAGTAACTTCAGCTGAGTGCTGGGAAAAAAAAGTTGAAATTCTGCACTAATATTAAATAAGTCTAAAAATCTTTAAAAAATGAAACAAGAAACAATCAAAAAGTCAACACAAAAATAAATCTGTGCATTTACAAAACAGCCTATTTTAACTGTTAGCAAAAACTGCTATAGTTACCATGGAAACGGTAATATCGTGTCCCGCTAGACAAACGGCACAAAAGCAGAAATAAGTTACGTCAACTCACACACGCTAACTTATATTTTAACTTACATGTTTGTCTCGCAGTCCTTCGTCTCTATCTTGCTCATTGTCCTCCGTTGTTTGGTTGTCTCCTCCACGTTAGCATCCTCGCTGCTGAAATTAGCCAGCGGTTGTCATCGTTACCGAGGTTACGTTTCCTTGATACATTTCTCATTCACAGTAAGTAGCACGCAGGGTAGTTTTCTAAATCTTACTTTACTAGAAATGTTGGAGAAAAATGTGTTTACTGCACCACTCAGTCAGATTATCAGATATAGCCTAATAATATATGAATTAACCTCTCAAATCGCTCAAATAACACGAGCAGAGAGTTCAAAGGTCATCATCGTCACGTCACTGCGACGTCACTAAATTAAACAAAAATATTCATAAAACATGTGATTCCATTTATTTTTGTGTTTTTATTAGACAGGTTGGTGTCTATGTATGTAAAAAAAAAAAAAAAAACATTTATTTATTTATTCCACAACAGAATTAATGGGGGAGCCGCTTTTTTTCAATGAGCTAACATGATTACCGCATATTATCCTATTATCCCATCAGACAATTTAACACTCAAAGATCATTCAGTAATTAATTCAAATCTGATTTGGTTCTGCTAAGATGTCTTTATGTTTGCATTGGTTTGCATATAAGATATGTCACCACAGTATTAAACTGCATAACACAATTTATTTAGATTTATTTATTTTACATAACATTATTTGTCATTTTGAGCTTTGTCTGTGTCTTGTTTTTTATTGGCCAGTTGAATGTCAATGTGAATTTTCACATTCATAGATACTCAATTTAAACCCCATGTTCTTGCTTTTAAGAAAGAAAATGAGTTTAAGATTACAACAAATACTTCAGGAAAAAAAGCTAAACAGTTGAAATTGTGAATTTGAGATCCCTATTCAAGGTTTTTATTCAATCTATGCTCTAAATGTGAACTCATCTAAATGTACCAGTTGTTTTATGTTGTCCCTTGACTTCTCTGCTTTTGTTTTATATTGTTTATATTATGTAGGCTATATGTGTATTTTTAAACATTTATCATATAGGTACACTTCTGTGTATTTTCAAGTAATATAATTACACTGTTGTTCTACTTTGAAATAAAGTTTATTGTAATTTGCTGAAAAAAGCAAACCATATATTTATTTTTCTATTTTTAAACCTTTTGTCGTCTCTCAATGTATTTAATTGTTTGTTTTTTTTAATTTACAAAGCGACCTATAAAGACAAGAAGATTCTTGAAGGGAAAGGTTGTGATCTAAAATCTTTTAATGTAGGCCAACTACATCAAAGACTGAAGACGAAACAGATAATAAATGTAAACACAGAGAGAGAGAACATAGAGGTTTGCCCTCCGCAGACAGATGAAGATGTTGAGATGTTTAACAGACCAGGGGGATTTACAGTTTTAATGTTTTGCTGCCATCTACTGGAAAATAATTTAAATCTTCCCAAGTTTATTTTTTATTTCCAGATTTCAATTAGCTTTAACTAAGGTGAAGATTAACAAATTAATTAGTTGCAGGCCAGAGCTCAACACTGACTTTTAAGTGAAATAGGAACATAAGTTATGTTATTTGCAAACATGACTGTTAAGTCGATTCAACATTAAGTTCAGAAAATCTAATGATCAAGAACTTTTTAAAGATGAATACAATTCAATGAACGTGAAAAAGAAAAACCTCTTTTTCAAGAAATATAAAACAAACAAAATGAGTCACATGAAGTGATATTTTTTGAGTTTTTAGAAAGTCCTTCCTGGCTTCCGTAGTCTCCATCAGGTTTGCAAAAATCTAAATAGGAAAACAGACTCTTCCCTTCAAAATAAAAGCAGAACCAAATAATACTGACATTTGTTACTACAATAACTACAAATGTGTATTATAATTTAAAAAATATATTGAACTGATTAAAAAAGACACTCATACTACAATTATCAGTTTACATTCATCTATATAGTTTTTTTGTTCTTTTAATCAATTACTGTTTGTATTTGTGTATACAATTTATTTTTACCTTATTGTTTTTTCTTTTTTAATCTTTTTAATGACTTTTTTATTTCACCTTTTAAACTTTCTTAGAGCTTTGAACATTGTCTTTATGCAATATATTTGCATGTGCACACATGTTACTTATGTGCCTGTGTTCATGTTCTTACATATTTGCACGGTCACACATGTGTTTGATTGTGTGTACATGTATTTGAACATTAGCTTATGCACATATGTCTAATTTGTGTAAATGGTGTATTGTGTATTTCTTATGCACACATTTTATGAAATGTAAATAGACTTGAGCTTGTATAGTGCTTTTCTAGTCTTCACTCAAAGTACTTTTACACTTCAGGTCACTCCTACACATTCACACACTGATGGCAGAGGCTGCTATGTAAAAGTAACCCTCAGTATTAACTCCATTCATACAATTTAAAATGCCTACAGGGAAGCAGCGGGAGGAACCTGGGGTTAAGTGTCTTTCCCAGGCACACATCGGATTGTGGCAGCAGGAGCTGGGGATTGAACCCCCAACCTTCCTCTTGAGAGACGCTGATCCACAATTGCCAATAATGGACTTTTTACGCATCTGTAAAGAACTTTGAATTGCCTGGTGCTAAAAGGTGCTTCATAAATTAACTTACCTTCCATTCACAATGCTTGATTTTTTTATTAAAGTTTTCAGTATTATGATTATTTATTTTATATTTCATTCCGTTTCATTTTTTCTGTTTTTTTTTAATGTTATTTTGAAAATCTTAACCGGAAACCAGCGGTGTGTTGTCAGCTTGTTCCTGTTTGCTTGTTGTTGTGGAGGGAAGCGGCTAGCTCTGTTAGCTCCGTTAGCCCCTGTGTGTGTGTGTGTGTTTGAAAGATAGTTTCCCGCAGTTATTTGTTCCTCCGATAGTTTAAATCATGGCGTACCAGCTGTACAGGAACACCACTCTGGGAAACAGCCTACAGGAGAGTTTGGACGAGCTCATACAGGTGACACCGACCACAAACATGACGGCTGTTAGCTCAGATTAGCATGTGGCTTAATGTAGCGTCTAGCCTTAGCTTGTTAGCTTAGCACTAGTTTGTCCTAAGCAGAGGTAAATAATGTCACATAAGTCACCGTGATGTTTAAATACTGTAGTTTCTATCTAATGCTGCTAGTAGGTGACCGGGCTAATGTAAGGACATACAGTTATTCGATGTTAAGTGAGTTTAATGGGACAGAAGTGACATTTGTTCATTAAATAAACTTGAGCGGTGAATCCTCTTCATGTTTGTATCATGTGACGGAGATGTTAGAGGTGTTGTGGGATGTTTTGTTGCTGTTTCTTGGAGTTAAATCAACACAAAACAAGAATCAGTAAAAGGTCAGTGCAGGTCTTTACTTACTATGTACTGAAACAGATGTTTTTAAACCATCATTAATGTTGTTAATCATGTTGTTGGTAGTCTGTGTGAGGCTGTAACAAAGCTGTACCAAACCTGATGGATGAATGGATTTCTTATTGAAAGAGTAAAAAATAATTATGATAAATACAAATGCTTTAAAAGTTAAACACACTCCAAATAAATGTATTTAAACTTTGTGCTGGCTTCACATAAAAACAAGGAAGGTATAAATATAATATTTCAAAGTGAAGTGTAAGAGTTGTGTTTTTTTATCATGTAGGAGATGACCCATCTGAGCGTCGTCATGGAGACGATTTGTGAGCTCTTAAAGTTTAGTGATGTCTTCAAAGCGAGCCGAGGATGAACTAATCTTTTATCTTATCCCTTATTGGAGTATTCAGACGAATTTAAAGGAAAAATGTCCTAATGCCATCACAAAACGCTGAGAATATTCAAAGTGCCCAACGGTAGGGCTGAACAATATATCGAGGTTTTAAGATATAGCGATATATTTTCAAACAAGATAACGGGTAAGTCAATATCGTAAATATCGATATAGTTTATGTTGCATTAAAATAATGTTACAGAGGTGCCAGGTTACCTTTTTCTCATCTCACTGATGATGACTGACTGTCTGTCCCTCTTCACCTTGCTCCTCCTCTCTCTCTCTCTTTATTGTATTTAAGGAACATTTTTATTTTATTATATTACTTTTTAAATTCACAAACAGGTAGTTTATTTTCCATGTGTTTTCACTGTTTTTAGCAGTCTTGTATTTATCTGTCTTCTTGTTCTTTTAATGATGTGTAGTCTGTCTTTTAATTAATTCTGAAATGACTCGATGTCATTGTAAATAAGGGTTGCCTCTCAGTATAAATAAAGGTTGATTGAATGATCCACGTCATCAATCAATAAAGATCGTTGGGCAGGGCTGGGCGATATGGACCAAAACTCATATCTCGATATTGTTTAGCTGAATGGCGCTACTCGATATCGATATGTCTTTTATTAACAGTGAAAACACAGAAAATAAACTACATGTTTGTGAATTTAAAAAGTGATATTATAAAATAAAAATGTTCCTTAAATACAATAAAAGAGAGAGAGAGGAGGAGAGAAAGACATATCGAGTAGCGTCATTTACAATGACATCGAGTCATTTCAGAATTAATTAACAGACAGACTACACGTCATTAAAAGAACAAGAAGACAGATAAATACAAGACTGCTAAAATAAATAAAAAACTTGGATTTTCTAAGAGGCTAAGACAGGATTAGTCCGATATCAGATACATCTATTACGTCAATATCGGACCTGCTGCTATAGATGTTTGAGAAGTGGATTTGTACTTTTGTTTAGCATCAAAGATGCAGCTTGTGAATTTAACTCCATTGTGTGTGAGTGTGTTGCCACTGCTAGATGTCGAATTAAATGGTTTGTGTTTGTGTGTTTAGACTCAGCAGATCACTCCTCAGCTGGCTCTGCAAGTCCTCCTTCAGTTTGATAAAGCAATCAACACGGCGCTTGCCAACAGAGTCCGCAACAGAGTCAACTTCAGAGTGAGTCTGAGTTCCCTTCCTATCACCTCAGAGTAAAAAAAAGAACAACCTTTATAATAACAGCGCTTGTGTGATGTTGTTGCCAGATCTCTGTGTGTAATAAGTGTTAAAAAAAATCAGCTGATAACTGTGATTTGGTGCTTTTACGCACGCAAAAAACTCCTGAGAATTTCCCGGTGTGAGCTGCATGTCTGAACGCAAACGGCCCGATTTTTCACCCCGACTGCCTAAGAAAGGTCATCGTAAAATCAGGTGGTGAAGATGTGTAGTCGCAGCAGGAAATATAAAGGAAAATTCACAGCGAGCAAGCAGGTCGGAGGTCATGATGTTTATGTTAGACACCCGCTGTGTGTCCTTCGTGTACATAATGAAACAGCTTCATACTCTTTTCTGCTCGGCAGTATGACCTTTTTGAATACATGTAAGACAAAAAGAACAACATTTTAAAAAGTCAATGTACATGTATACATAATAATGGATTTGAAGTGTCTAGAAATGTAAATTCTGGTTGGCGTTTTTTGTTTTGGATTTTGAAAATTTCAAAAAAATCAGAGAATCGAAAAAGACCAAGTACTTTAAGTTTTCTGTTGTATCTTTCATCACCACACTGATTTACACAAGTCTTTATCTTTATCTTTGATCCTGTGAAAAATTGTCTATTATAGTGATAGACTCTGTCGCATGATGCGCCATCTAGGATTTCCAAAGCGTCTTTTTGATGTCATGTCTTGCCTCCTGACAGCAAGCCCTTTATCAGCAGCTCTAGATAGAAAATGGGCAAAAAGAAACAAGTAAAAATACAAATATCAAACTATAATTTCTACCACTAAAAGTTAAAGAACTGCATTGAAAACTTATTTTATTACAAATATTTGATCATGGTGTTGCATTTTACTGCTGTCGATGTTTGCGGTTGTGTAATATTAAGGGCTCTGCCTCTCAGCTGCTGTTCTCCGTCTGTCCTGCAGGGCTCCCTAAACACGTACAGGTTCTGTGACAACGTGTGGACGTTTGTCCTCAACGACGTGGAGTTCAGGGAGGTGACGGACCTGGTGAAGGTCGACAAGGTCAAAATCGTTGCCTGTGACGGAAAGAGCGAGTCGACCCAAAACAAGACAGATAAATGGTGAGTACAGATTTTTAGATTGAAAGTGTCAGACTTCGCTGAATATCAGGGAGTTGTTTTCGTCACATTTTTTTGTTTTAAGGGCGGAACGTCAAATAGAAATGTTGACTATCTATATTGAGCAGCCAAATCACAGCCCTGGAAAATGTTTGACACTATTTGTAACTATCATGACGACCTACCCCATTCTTCATTATTTCCTGTTTTTTTTTTTTTTTTCTCTCCGCAGACTCTGGCTGCAGCACTGCAGAGCGATGACCCTTTCTGACCGTGTGCTGGTGTCAGACGGAGTCACAGGTGGACCTGGACTGTACATATAATTTATTATTACAGCAGAGTCACAGCTGAGAAGTGTGTGAGTGTGTGCGTGCGTGTGTGAGTGTCAGAGTGGACCAGTTACTGTTCCTGCAGCAAAGTTCTTTTTTATTATCAGTTTACATGATGTTTGTGTTCAGTTTGCTGTTATTATGAAGCTGGAACATCTTTAATAAAAACTTTATTTAAAACTCGGAAAGGTTCTGTTCTCATCAATCAAACTAAACTGACAGGCTCAGATTGTTCTTCTACGTCTTCTACATGTGCACTCAGAGACCTTAGGTGGGCGCCAAAGCACACCAAACCCAACTCTTCCCTAATGTTGGTTTACAACAGCAAAGTCACACAATAACAAAAAAAATCAATCAAAACCATCATCATTATTAAAGGAAGAATATGCAATTTTTCACACTTAAATGTAGCAGAAATCAAATATATCGTCTGAAAATAACTCAGTGAGTCATGACTGTCTACAATGAGTGTGACACCCGAGTCCCACTGTCTGTGATGTTTTCCGAGCCATAGCTTCAGTTTGTTTACATCGTTAGGACGGCCGGCCGGCTCATCCCCTCGCGTATAAAAGTTGTTTAATTGAGGGACTAGAGAAAAGAAGAGTAACATACTGTACTCACTGCTTATTTGAATGTCACCTAAGCCCTTTTAGATCACGTCATTTCTTGTAAATTTACATGCAGAGTAAAGATACGAGCGTAATAAAGATGGCTAGCATTAGCATGATAACAACAATGCAGCGCAAGTAGTTTTAGTTTCATGCTGGTGCTCAAGGGGGCGACATCTGCTGAATCAAAAAGTCGCATACTCTTCCTTTAATGTCGTAGGTGTTCATAAAGAGCAGGGTCTTTAGCTTTTTCTTAAAGGTGCAAAGGGACTCTGCAGGACCCTGTTGTGAAGGTTGGATCAGAGCGTAGTGGGCGGGAGGGAGTGTAGACCTGGATTATATAGTCTAGGGGTGAATCCCGATGTCCTCCCTAAACCCTGAGTCCTTACGGACTTAATTGACGTCACCTGGGAAGTGATTGAGTGTAAGTGAGGTTTAATACAAATGGGACATCACTTTGCGACTTCTCTGTAACCATGACAGCACGACGTCATTTGGCAAAAGCTTATTTCACGTTTTTTACTTCACGCACTCACAGCCCCATGGCGCTTCTCAAAGTTCTACTTAATATAGTCCTAAATGTACATTTACAGCACTAAACCCTCACAGATTTAGCGGGAACGTGCATCAAAGTCAGTGAGTGAGTGAGGGTTGACATCGAGATTGGGCCTAGGTAACGAGGAGCTGTTTTCTAAGCAAGCAGCAGAGTTATTTCAATAAAGTTATTTGATTTAAAGGGATTTTTTCTGTAATGCTGCTGGATGTCAGTAACTTTCAGTGGATGTATCATGATGGGTTGTTGTAGCTATTACAGCCTGTTTCATGGCTGCAGCCTGAAACAATCTACTGGAGCAAATCCAGATGTTTTTGTACTTTTAACGCCACCCTCAAAGTACAGTTATTATTTCATAAACGCTAATTTCACAAACCAAATAAAGATCTCGTCATCAGTGCCGAGAAACCAAACCAAACAAGAAGAGTCAGAATCAAGCGTTTCACTTTATTATAACAACATCAGGATTTCACATCAAGTATAAAAGAGTGCATCTTCAAAATGAAACGAATACAATGATCGACATTTACTGTTCTTTCTCAACAAACAGGACACACAGAATATAAATAGAGAGATTTATTTTTAGTTGCAGTTTCCTGCAAAAGAAACGTCTCAAATGTGAGTGTTTCAAAGGCTTCGGGATGGTTGTTTGGTATCTATATGTCTGTATATATATTTTCAAACAGGACCATGTAGATATAAAATAGATTTCTCTGCGTAAACATCGAGTATTTTCATCTGTAAGACTTCTTGATCAATACTGCATGTGTTTCCCACAGAGAGAGAAGAAGAAGAATGGCTTCTGTTTCCAAAACTTGAAACAACCCAAGTGATGCTCACGTGAAGAGAGGCATGATGGGAAGTCAAACCATGAGCAGTGGAGTGAGGATTATATTTACAGTCTGATTGTTACTGTGGTTGAGCTGCGGCAGGAACGTTTTGACTTCTGAGACGATAAAGAGATGGATATCAGGCTGACGTGTTTCAGCGTTTAGAGTGGAGCTTTAAGGATCCTGACACAGCAAACCACTTTAGATTAACAGTCACAGCCGCCGTTACACGGGATGTAAACACAATAGGAAGACTTTTTGTGTATTTGCATTAAACCTGCATTCTTTCCAACGGACAGAAATCTCAATGAGCAAACTTTTCAGATGATTTATTACAGTTGTAACAACTTCTTTTTATCAAACGACATCAAATTTATAGAGCCCGCCTCGACCACGCCCTGTGGTGAGACCTCGTGTTTTACACAACTTTGAATCTTGAATTTGTCTACTTTCAGCTGATGCCAAACTTGAATTGATCAGATGAACCCCCCCCGGGTGAAAGTGCGTTCAAATAGGAGCGCTGTGAATTCTCTGAAATCTCAAAAATCGGACTCCGTAATCTTGTTCCTAATCCGTTTATGCTCGCCTTCCATATTTTCGAGTCTTCTTCCCGACAGCTTGATGTTCATTTAGTAAGTTGTGGTCCATATTACTGAAAGCAGGGTATACTGTAGGGCATGGCTACCTTTGTGATTCATAAGTGGGCCTGAGAGATGCTTTGGCTCTCTACAGTCTGTTAAGACACTCTTTTGGAACATACATTTGGCTTTGAGCCTCGTCTTCCTCCCAGGTTTATATCCCATAGTTGGCTGTTAACTTAGTGTTTACCGAGCTCTTGCTCCTTTCCATTCAATCTTTATCAAATGGTTGACATCTTGTTAGCTGTGTCTACTTTTTATATACAGTCTATGGATCGTAGGCGGATCTGCAGTGACCTGCATGGATTATTATTTTTCTAAGAAGCAAATTTTTAAAATCTGTCATTCTTCATTACAGTTGTTCATTTAAAGTTGTATTATCTCTCCATGAAGCAGACACCATTTAGTTAGAAGAGCACGTGTGTTACTGAACACATTAGAGGTTTTAAAAAGGTGGACGTTTCCACTGATCCTATGAAGAAATTGAGATGATAGCACCCGATCTTCAATTTGGCGTGTCAGGGTTCAAAGCTGCCCTTAATGGACGAACTGCAGATGAATTAAGCGGCCCTTGTAGCACCGATAGGACCTTATTCCTGCCGACATCAACCGGTACATTATCAGGAAGCAGCAGAAAAACATCCTAATATTCTTCCTCCACTTGTCACAATGAGATGATATCATTAAAAGAGCTCAGGAGTAAGCTCAAACATCAGAAAACATGATTGAAATATGACATATGTGTTAGTTTCATGTATAAAGCTAATGCGGCTACAGGACTAGGGGACCAAGCGTTAGCAATTAGCTTTGAGCTACTTTAATATAACTACGATTGATGCAGTCTGTCGGAAGGTCCAGAGGGATTCCTTTTTATGTACATGATCTTAAAAACACTTGTAGCTGCCTCGTGTCTCACTGAACTGAAGTTCACCAAATACTTGTAATAATACTCTTTGTAGCTGATGTTTCTAATACCAGACCGGACCACTAGCTCCTTGGCAGGGTCGTGTTTTACAGCCACACAGAAACAAACGGACGCATGCTTTGGGTTTGAAGGATTGATGTGGATGTAAAGATGTAATCAAGACCACACTAACCGAGACCAAGACATACTAGAGACCAGAGTGCTCAGAGACCGAGACAAGAACAAGACATTTAGGGGTTGAGACCGAGTCAAGACCAAGGCAGGGTGAGACCGAGGCAAGACCAAGACATTTAGGGGTCAAGACAGAGTCAAGACCAAGACATTTAGGGCAGGACAAGACCAAGTCAAGACCAAGTCAAGACCAAGTCAAGACCAAGACCAAGGCAGGGCGAGACCGAGACAAGACCAAGACATTTAGGGATCGAGACCGAGTCAAGACCAAGACATTTAGGGGTCGAGACAGAGTCAAGACCAAGACCAAGACCATAAATATCTCTGAAAAATCTTCATCTTGTGTGCAGGGGGCGCGTCACTCACTTAGAACGTGACACCGGGAAGGTTACGCCCATAACCGGAGGAAAAAACAAAATCAAATAATGAATGAAGTAAGTTAATTTTTGGTTTCGAAAGAGGTTTTTTTCCTTTTAATTACAGTAATGACGTGGAAAAATAGCCAATCAGTGGTGGTCTTGATTCAAAATCCATAGTCCGCCAAATCTGAGACCGACACCAGACCTAGTCAAAATGCTTTCCATCCCGAGACGAGACTTCAAAAAGTGGTCTTGAGACCAAAACTATTTCGAGTACTACAACACCGCTGTATGTAGAGGCGCCTTAAATCTGCATTCTGTCTAACAACCAGCAGGGGGCGACTCCACTGGCTCCAGAAGCGGGTCCACTTGTACAGAAGTCTATGAGAAAGTGAAACCATTTTCTGATGACTTTATGAGTTCAGTCTTTAGTTTCAAGTCTTTATCGACGCAGCATGATGACGACATTCATTTCCTAAATTATGATCCCGTTTAGGGTCAAATGGACGATACAGCAGGGTCAACTTTAGAGCATGGCTTACTTGCATGTTTTTCAAGTTGCTCCCACAGTGACCTGAAGATATTTGGCTCAGCGTGTGGATGCACCTGAAGACACTCGGAGGAACAAGCTGGGTCTTTATTCAATTATTGTTCAAGCCAGCCGAAGGTCCTCTGAATTTTTGCATCATTTACCAAAGTAGTGTACCGTAAAACTTCAAATAAAAGCGCATCCCAATTTGAGGCTCAGTCCCTTTTAATAGCCTGGTGTTGCTGTTAAAGGCCTCTTTGTATTTAATGGTGATTAGTTTGCAGATCTTCTTTGTCAATCTTTGCCGTGCACAAGTTCTGTTGGAAATATTCAAAGATCTTGTTTTGACGCCTGTCCCAAATAAAGGCAGGAGGTAAATGAAAGCCCGGGATATTTAATTGAAGTTTTATGGTAAGCTGATACAGTTTCCATTTGCTGACCCCCTCACTCCTGTAGTCCCCACCCTCTCATGAGGTCGTCACAAAATCTGAATTTAAACGTTGATATGTTCCTAGTAATAATCAAACGGTATCGATACTTGTTTTGATACCACGGCAACAGAAACAGAATTCCCTGCACACTGTCTAAACTGCACTAATGCATCGTCAATGTTTCAGTACAGAGAAGTTGTCAACTTTATAACACCAACGCATTTCGGCTTGTTGCCTTTATCGAGGTCATCCCGCCATGAAGGCCAAAACCAAAATAGTCTAATAAAGTTTATCTTAATGCTACAAGTGTTGCTGTAGCTTTGAGACCTCTTCAAGCCTTCCACTCTTCAAGCACATTGGTACCCCGCTTCTCCAGTGCAGAAACGTTGCCAACTTTTTTGTGCAATAAAGAAAAACAAGTGTGCAGGAGTGTATCTGCAACTGACTCGTTTCTCTGTATGAGACGGACGTGTTGTTCTTAAAGCGTCAGTACTTTTCAATACTATCACTCATACTCATTAAAAAACAGAGATTGTTTCATTTTCAAACATGTGGTATCAAGAAAGCACCAAAGTTTACACAATTTTGACAACTTCACCCTCTAAGACTTTAAATTCGGTCGCTTCTGGCTCCGAAAACGCAAGCTGGAGTTGTAAAAAAAATGGCTGCAAAAACTGTTGTTTCCAAACTCGTGAGACTGTGCACACTTCTTACATGCAGTATAGAGTTTACCTCACTTTGTTCTCCTCTAAACCGTTTAACTGTAGGAACGTTTTTAGAACCCCCCAAAAAATAACCTGCAATCCATAAATCAGATTTTCGGTAAACTGGAGACCGTTTGGATCGTGACACAGCTGGCTAGTTTTGCTGAAGTCAGCCGGACGCAAAAAAAGAAAAGAAAAAAAAAAAACCTCCCTTTGCTGGGTCATAATAGCTGCACTGACAGGACACGACGTCTACAAAATACATTCAGGAGACACATGCCACATAAAAAAAGACACTTCTAGACATTTTATAAAGTGTATAAAAATGGAAACAAAAAATATGTCTGCTGTAAGAAAGTATAAAACATCCACCGCGTGATGCTGAAGTCCACAGCCCGCTTCAGTCTTCCTCTTCCTCTTCCCTCTTCCTGCCTTTCTTCCTCACGCTCAGTCCAGGAAGCGTTGGCAGGCTTTCTTCCAGCGGCAGGACGTACACCACTGGTCTCTGTGCTCGATGCCGTACACTTTGCGACACTTCTTGGCTTCACCGCGGATTCTCCTGAGAGACACGGAGAGATCAGTTAGACTTCTGTGGACCTCGTCAGAATAGGAGGTCTGCGGTCGGAAGAACGCCACGAGACAGTTCAATCAGCTAGTGCTCAATATTTATCAGCTCAGACTCCAGGATACCCAATTGGTTGCCATGATTTCCTTCACACAAACAGGCAGAGAATGTGGCAATATAGCAGGCATAGAAATTGCACTGCCACCTCGTGTTTAGGTTGAGTATTGCAGAACCATGCAGACACCAACGTACCAGGATGTAGTGCTCACAACGGCGTATTCAACACAGGAGTATAAACCCGGCTTTAGACTCCATATGCATTTTAAAATGGACTGTTTTTGGTTTACATAAAGTCTATGCAGCTGCTTAAGAGAATTGAATTGTACCCACATCCTCTTTGCTCCGTGTCTGATCGGGAAATAAACGATCTTATAAAACATGCAGTAAAAAGTAACGGAGCGCTGTCGGTCATACAGCGGCCGTTTTCAACCGACTGTTGCCATAGAGACAGTCTGGGCGTGCAGCGCTTTTCTTCTCAGCGCACAAACACTTCATGCAAAAACTCCTGAGTGCACAGCTGCGAGGTGGACACGGGGCCTAACTCTGCAGCTGTTACAGCTTGAGTCATGCCGCCAGCTGAAGGGACAAAAAAATAGTTGGAAAAAATAGCAAAATTACACTTTATTATTGATACTGACCTGCTGGGGGCGCTGTGCTGCTGCAGCCACTGCTCCCCTACACTGACAGAACGCACTCGAAACGTCAAACCCTGAAAAGTATAGAAGAACAGTCAGTTTGTAGTTTATTTGAACTTTTTCTTGATTGCTGTCTTTGCTGTCTTTCTGATGTTTTATTTATCATCTGCTAATTAATTTTTGGGTTTCTTCTACTCAGTTTTCATAATTTTATGTTCCTTCTGTGTCTCTGCTGTTAATGTCCTTTGTGTTTACACCCTCTGGTGAAAAACATTCTGCAGTACCCTCTCTCAGCCTGCAGGTGGCAGCACTGCCCTGTGGCAAACTGAAGGAAAATGTGACCACAAGCCATCCAGGAGGGGATTTTCCTTCTGAAAGAAAACCATCAGGGAGGAGCACACACACACCCACACACTCTCTCTCCACCCCCCTTTAGTGTAAAACCAGTTTTAACAGGCTTCTCTGTGCCGGTGGAGGAAATAAACAATAGACGGCTGAACAGGATCAGGAGAGAGAGAAAACAGAACTGAATGCAGTGTGTGTGTTTTTGTACCAGAGGGTTGAAGCTGGCTCTCAGGGGGGATGAACAGAAGTCACAGAATCATTTAAAATCTAACCTAATAGTCTCGAGGGGAAATCCAAAACTGTTTGTTTTACTTTTTAAAAAAACAACAACAATGTAGAACTAACAGGACACTGCAGACTGTTTGCAGCACTCTGCACGGCTTTCTGTTGCTGCTTTCCGTTTGTTTTGGTGCAAAAACTTTGAGCGAGAGCACAAGAAAAAAAAAGCCTTCTGCCCTTTTGTTTTTCCTTTTGCAGAGTGCAAAAGGAGGAACACAGCGCTGCATACTTCTTAAAATAAACTGTCGAGTCAGGAGTTATGTGATCTCTTTTTACCGCCAAGAAATACTTGAAAGGCCCAAAACCTGTTTCAGTTTGGCGCTAAGCAGGTGGTGAAAAGAGCGTTAATCAATCACTCCGATCAAAAGCAGACAGGAAGTGACCTGCAAAGCCAAATCCTGACTCTGGTTGTGCAAGAAGCTGTAATACAGCAACGTAATAACACTCCTCGACTAGCTTGATTCCTGTGTTTCTTTGTGCAACATGCACACACACTTTTAGAGGAGTGAGAGCTACTATTGGATGGTTTAGTCCTGTTTGATTCCCAACCTGGGGGTCAGGCCCCCCTACAGGTCGACAGATTAATTTTGGGGTTTCATCCCAAAGATGACAAATTTGTTTTTGTTTTCACTCGGTGGATATTTTGCCTTTTCTAACCACTACTTGAGGGTTTGAAGCAATGCACACACATTTATTTCTGAACTATTGGTTGTTCAATTATTTGAAACCCTCTTTTTGTCTCTCATCATCAACCAATAAATAAAATGTTCTAGAAAAAAGATCTGATTCAGAGCTGCAGGCGGTTATTCACCATGGACCCAGAGCCGGCTGATTAAAAACTCTGCTGTATACCCATGATCTATTTATAGATTAGATCAGATAACATCAACTTTATTGTCCTCTGGGAAATTCACCTTGGGCAAAGGTGCACAGAAAACACACACAGGTCTGTGCAACTTACAGTAAAAAACAAACACAACACGAGACAGGTTACCATAAAAACACATGAGTACAATAAAATACATAAGACGGAGGGCTGAAATAACTCATAAACTCATAATAAATGTAAACGAGTTAAATCATGCGCATGGACTTGTTCAACAGTGGTCAGGTTTAGCTGTTAATTTACCCCAAAAAAAAAATCAAGTGCAAGTCGTGCAGCACTAGAGCTGGGGTCGCCAGCAGGGCAGCACCACCTGAAGTGTGTCAAGATAAAGGCCTACATTAATCGTCCTTTAAGGCTTACCTGTTGGAGGCAAGTGGTGGGCGTGGCCGTCAAAGTGCAGGTGGCCGTGTTTGAAACTGCTGTTGCTGCCGACATCACACGACTCGGAGGTGGAGCCTAAAAAGAAAACAACACAAGATGCTCGATTTAAAAGAGAAAACATAAGAGTTCAGCAGCGTTGTCATGGCAACATGTCATCTCTAGCCAAGACAAAATTGGCTACATTAATTTATAGTGGCAATTAGCTGTCAATCACTGATGATAAGCCCCGCCCTACCTGGTAGGAGTGCTCTGATTTGACCTGCCAGATGCTGCCAGAGGCGGAGGGGGCGGAGCGACTCAGAGCGCTGCAGACTGGAGAGGGCGGTGATTGAGGAGAGGAAGGAGGAGGGCTTGGAGGTGAGGAGGACGAGGATGTAGGTGAGGCAGGGGCGGGGCTACAGTGGAGAGGAAGGGGCGGAGACTGCTGCTGCTGCGGCTGCTGATCCCATTGGTTGATCTCGGTGTAGTAAAAATCCTCCTCACTGCGGGAACACCGCTCGTGTTCCCCACCACGGCTGTCAGAGGTCAAAGTGGATTAGTCGGATCAATTCAAAATAATGCCAAAAAAAAAAAAAAATACCACATTCAGGATTGCTCCTGATGTTTGCTTTTCGTAAACTTCCAGGATATTTTCCCGTGATTTCCACATTTGCTCATCTTCAATATAAGAGAGAGGAGAAGAGCTTAGCTGGGAGAGGAAAAATGTGCTCTTCAACAGAGCATGAGTCAGCAGTTTTTTAAGTTTGTCTCCAGAGTTTGGACACGTAACCTGTAAGTACAAGTGCATGTGGTGTTGTTGTTTGTTGCATGTTGAGTAAAATATATAAAGCTAATTCTGTTAGCCAGTTAATGGCATTTTCCAGTATAGGTTAGCATCAAGCTAACACACTAAGATATACGTCCCGGTCCATCAGTGAGAAATTGTGCCCAGCTTAAAGAATAACGCTCCAACGACTGTTCATGACATTTATTATATCTTAATAAAGTTAGTTTTAAACTCATTTTTTTAATTTTCTGTCAGCATGAAGCCTCCGTATCTTTCTGAAGTGAAACATGATCTCTGTCTTTCAGCTGAAACTTACCACAGGTGTGTTGTCCGGATGTGACGTTTTATTCCCACCACTGACGTCAGCACCTTTCCGCAGCTCGGCCACAGACACCTGTACGCCGACTTCACCGAGTTCTGGAGGAGGAAAACACACCGTCAACACTCGCCGTCTCTGTCAGTGTTTTATTTGTCCTGTGACGCCCGTGAAATCTGCTCACCCTGCGTTTACGGGGCGCCGGCTCATCAAACAGAACCTGCTCCAGCTCCATGTCCAGTCCTTCATCAGTGGGCGTGGCTGGGCTCCCGCCGGATCTGCGATTGGTGGAGAGGGGGCGGGGCTTCCGTTGCTGTGGCCGATGCTCAAGTAGCCGCTGCTGCCGCCGTCAGAGAGATCGCCGCCTCCACAATCCATTGGAGGAGCTGTTGTAATAATTTGATTGGGCCATTGATTTGTGGACTTTGCTGATGTTTGATGTTATTGTTTTGGTGTATCGGATGTTGTTGTACCTGATGTGTCTTGGTAGACGGGGCTGTGCAGAAGAGGGCTGCAGGACAAACTACTGAGGACCATCGCTGCCATCAGTGCGTCCATATCCACCTCCTCCGGACTCCTCTGACTGGGGAGAGGCGAGGAGAGGAGAGGAGAGGAGAGGAGGGGAAGGGAGGGGAGAGGAGAGGAGAGGAGAGGAAGGGAGGGGAGAGGAGAGGAGAGGAGAGGAGAGGAGAGGAAGGAGGGAGGGGAGAGGAGAGGAGAGGAGAGGAAGGGAGGGGAGAGGAGAGGAGAGGAAGGAGGGGAGGGGAGAGGAGAGGAGAGGAGGGGAGGGGAGACCAGAGGAGGAGAGAAGAGGAGGAGAGGAGAGGAGAGGAGAGGAGAGGAGGAGGAGGAGAGGAGAGGAGAGGAGGGGAGAGGAGAGGAGAGGAGGGAGGGGAGAGGAGGGGAGAGGAGAAGAGAGGAGAGGAGAGGAGAGAGAGGAAGGAGGGGAAAGGGGGAGGGGAAGGGAGAGGAGAAGAGAAGAGAGAGGAGGAGAGGAGAGGAGAGGAGAGTTATTTTCATGCAAACTGTGCAAAGTGACACATAAACAAGTGTCGAAGAGAGGAGGTCAAACCTTCTGGGGACGTCGATGCAGGAGGAGACAGATCTGCTGCAGAATGGAGGCACCGAAACATCCCTCTGCATGAGGTCCCCCTGATCCACGACACCTGCAGATTCACCTCCTCCACTGCACTGAAAATACACCTGAAGGAGGAAACAAACAAGTCTCACTTTGATTGGCTGTGACACCTGTCAATCAAAGGTGCACTTCATCTCTGTCATCACTCCCCCTGAATTAAAAAACGGCGGACAAGATAAACTCACCTTCATTCCAGGTGACCTTTGACTCTGCTGATGGGATGCTCTCCTCCCACTGTTGCCATGGCGATGCTGGTCTCACCTGTCTCCTGGCCTGCATGTGTGCCTGCTGCGGGGCAGGCGGAGCTCACCAGCGCCCCGAAAGGAGAGCGCTTTCCCAGACGCGTCTTTGGCAACATGTCTGTCTGTCTGCAGGTCTGTCTGAATACCGCCTGTGTAGTCATAAGAGATCGTCTGGATCTGAAACACAAGGAGATGCATTTTAACGTTACAGCTTTTGTTCTTCATCATTTTTAGACAAGGAATCAAATAAATACGTTCTCAGTCCTTTATCCTTTCTTTCTAATGTTACACAAGTTCTCTCTGACTGTCTGTGTAAACTTTGCTTTTGCATAAAGGGAGACGTGTTGTCCTGGTCTCATGACACTTAGAGACCACTCGGTCTTATCTCAGACTGAACGGACTCTGAATTTCACGTCATTACTGGCCCTCTCGCCCTGCCTTGATCTTGGTCTTGTCTCAGTCTAGTCCTGCCTTGGTCTTGGTCTTGGTCTTGGTCTTGGTCTTGGTGATGGTCTTGTCTCGGTCTAGTCCTGCCTTGGTCTTGGTCTTGGTCTTGGTCTTGGTCTTGGTCTTGGTCTTGGTGATGGTCTTGTCTCGGTCTAGTCCTGCCTTGGTCTTGGTCTTGTCTCGGTCTAGTCCTGCCTTGGTCTTGGTCTTGGTCTTGGTCTTGGTCTTGGTCTTGGTGATGGTCTTGTCTCGGTCTAGTCCTGCCTTGGTCTTGGTCTTGTCTCGGTCTAGTCCTGCCTTGGTCTTGGTCTTGGTCTTGGTCTTGGTCTTGGTCTTGTCTCGGTCTAGTCCTGCCTTGGTCTTGGTCTTGGTCTTGGTCTTGGTCTTGGTCTTGGTGATGGTCTTGTCTCGGTCTAGTCCTGCCTTGGTCTTGGTCTTGTCTCAGTCTAGTCCTGCCTTGGTCTTGGTCTTGGTCTTGGTCTTGGTCTTGAAAATAAAAACAAACCTGAAACTACCAGGCTTAGTAAGCTTTAAAGACAAACGTTATAAGCCAGTAATTACTAATGTTTACTCTATACAAGAACCCCCCTACTACCGCCACACACACACACACACACACACACACACACACACACACACACACACACACACACACACACACACACACACACACACACACACACACACACACACACACACACACCCCGCTCCCAGTGGCTGCTGGGAACTGGGGAACTGGGAAAAGTTCTGCTGTGGATTAAGTGTTCAAAGATCTGAGTGACTCACAGGCTGCAGCAGTGTCATTTACAGTCAGACTGCTGTGTGTGTGTGTGTGTGTGTGTGTGTGTGTGTGTGTGTGTGTGTGTGTGTGTGTGTGTGATTAAAGGCGCTAACTAAACAGAGGATTAACTTGTTGAGGACAGATGGCTTCAGCTGTAATTCAATGTTTCTTTATCACATTATATCTGCTGCTCACACTGAAGAGAATTACAACACCTTCACTGCTAAACTGTGTCACCATGGCAACCTGATGCCCCTCCTCCCCCCCCAACATTCCCAGTAAACCAGTGACTCAGAGGAGCCAGTTCCAGTTACTTACAGTATCAACAAACAAATAATTGTTTGACAGCTGATTGGTCTTTTAACCAGATGTTAACCTGCTGCAGAGATTAGAGCTCACTCAGACACCAGGGCCACTTCGAGTTAGGATTATCAACTATACAATACCAGTTTGTTTCCTACAAAAATCCCTGAAGATGCACGTTATAAAGCTCCCAGTGCCAACTTCAAAGTCTGTAAACTGTTTGAGTTATCCAACAGATAGTCCAATTCTTGAAGTTAATCAGTTTTCTGTCACAAACGGGAAACAAAAGCATCAAATCAAAACAATTATGAAGTTGAAATGGTGACTTTTTGGGGGAGTTTTTGCTTGAATATTACATAAAAGGCTTCATTTAACCTACATTTTTCTAATAGGCCAACAAGGAGTGACCCCCACTGCATGAAAAACAGAGTCAGGAAGTCTTTAAGGAACTGGTCCTATACTAGTTTATTTAATCTACTCAGTAAGTAATTTTTGAGTCAATGATCTCAATCTCTAGTTTCAAGTCTTCATCAGCACAGCATGCTACCATACGGTACTCTATGTTACGATACGATATGGTACGATCAAAGGTCAGAGGTATCTTTATTATCCCCACAAGGAAACTTGTTACGACGATACACTTCATTGTTAATTCGTCTTGGTCTCCTAGTTGCTCATTTTGTCGATTTCGGTCTCAGTCGAAGTCAAATAAATGATAAAGAAGCGGATGCTTACAGATAATGAATTACAGATACAGATGATTTATGTTCTGTAGGCCGGATGGGAAGGGGGGGGGGGCAGATGTGGCCCACGTCTTGCTAGTTGATGAGTTTGGAGTGGTGCTGCCTGTTATTGACAGGTTGCTGCACCATGCCAACCTCAGACATGATTTTGGTCAGCATCATTTGCATTCAAATACACTTAAAAATTAATTTTGTTTCGTTCTCAGTATCCAAAAAATGCATCCATATATACTTATAACACATCAGTCAATGTCATTTTCTAATGCGCCTCTTAATCAAGTGTTTGTTTAACGCCTCGCTGTTTCCCAAACTCAGCCTCTCGTCCACATTTAAAGTCACTTATTGTTTCTTCATAACCAGCATGGCAGCAGCTTCAATTCTAAAAATGAAGCTGTAAATCAACAGATCACAAATCAGTCGTCTCACTTCTTCTTCACAGTCTTCTCGTTCATCTCAAAGGCGCTGGATGGATTTGAGGTCAAGCTCTTTTTGCACCCAAACGTGTTCTCCATGGAGCTTCTTTGTGCACAGAAACAAACACACACACTGTTGTCTAAAACATCTCTGAATTCACCTCAACTGGGACTGAAACTGAAGCAAAAAAAAGAAACACTAGACTGAAGTGCAACACAGACATGTGTGCAAGCTTCTACCCCACACACACACACACACACACACACATACTGACACACATACTGTACTAACACACCCCTCTTCTGTCTGCAGCTCTGAACCAATCACATTCCTTTAGAGCCAAGCTCACACCCTCCACTGTAAGAGTCCTCAATGAACAAAAAACAACTAAAACCCTTTAAGTTTGATCTCTGAGTCGTTCAGTTTGAGATCCCAGCTGTTAAAACCGAAACCGAAGTCTTTTTTTTCACTTTGCGCAGTATTTAAAGTCTTAACAACGACACAACAACAAACAGGTCAAGTGAAAAAAAAAAAAGGAGCAAACGCAAAGTTTTCACTGCAGAGATGTGTGTTAAAGTGATCCACCATCATGAATGTTGGAAACGGCCACGATATGATAAACAAAGTGAAGGAGCGCAGAGGGGAAAGTAGGACAGTAGGTGAAGTCACATGTTGTCTTTGTGAACTTCAGCAGCAGATCTTTCACTGATCACTGAAGAAACGAGGAAAGAGAGAAAAAAGCAGGGGACAGTTTGAACAGAGAGGCTGAAGATGAAGCTGTGATTTAGAGCATGCATCAGCTGTCACATACCTGCACAGTGTCAGGATCCTGCACGAAAAACAACAATAAACAACAACAACACTTCCAGTAGGTCTGAGTGAGTCCAACTGCTGCTCAATGGGAGCTGAGAGTGAGAGCTGCTTCTGCAGGCTGCATCCAGTCTGAACAGGGAGGGAAGGGCTGCACGCAAGACCTGCACCGGATCACACCGGAACTGACGGAAGGGAGTCTTTATTTCCTCAACATTGCAGCAACACAAACAGGTTTTCGGATGAAAGAGGGGATTCTCCAAAAACACTCAGAGCGTGTGGACATCAAAGTTTGATGCCTGACACACAGATGAAGTAACATTTCATAATGCACCCAGAACATTGTTACATTGTGCTGGGGCGGCAGCACCTCAGTCTGTTGGGACTTGGTTTTGAGAACCGGTTCAAGTCCCGTGACCAACCAAAGTCTGCAGTGTCTTGTTTTGTGTGACGTTACGACGACGTGTTTTAACTGAATCTTTATTTGCAGTCGTGTACATTCTGGTGAAGTCTTACTAGGAAGGCGAACTTCTCACACATACTAAACAGAACAGGCTCCGTCTGCATACACTGCGGACCAATCACAATTGGGTAAGGGGAAATTTCTGTTTTTACACTCTGTAAGTCATGCAACACACACATAAGAGGAAATATACACATGCACAAACAGGATCCTATGGACATGCACTAATGGAGGGATGTCAGAGTGACGGAGCTGCCCACAGTGGGCGCTCCTGAGTTGGGGGGGGGGGGTGCCTTGCTCAGGGGCACCTTGGCAGTGCTCAGGAAGTGATCTGGCACCTCTAAAGACCAACTTTCAGATTAGGTCCGCACCGGGACTTCCCTACAGGCTGAGCTACTGCCGCTCAGAAAAGGTGTCAAACAGCAGAGGACAGCGCCCGTGGTTTCGAACCTCTGGCAAGGGACTGCACGAGACAGTCTATGTTTGGAGGAAGTTTTATGATTTTGATGTCACCACTGAGCTAAACCGCTGCCCACAGTGGGCAACCAATAGGAACACATGTTACTAACTTACAACGCAACAGTGTTACTAAGCAACCTCAATGATATTCTGTGAGAATATTACATGCAGTTTAGGGCTGTTCGCTGGAGAGGTGTCAGGTCACTTCCTGAGCTCTGCTGGGGTGCCAGCAAGGGAGAACAGTGATGTGTGTGTGTGTGTGTGTGTGTGTGTGTGTGTGTGTGTGAGTGAGTGTGTGTGTGTGTGTGTGTGCGTGCGCATGTGGAGCTCCCACTATTTCTCTCGTCGTCATGCTTCACAGACTGGGACACTGATATTTACACTGTTGTGGCATCAATATAAAGACATAATGGCGGTGGAGCTTCGTTACAGCGCTGTCCAAGAATTGCACTCTGAAAAATTCTCAAGATTCATGATTTTAAATGTTCATCCACCCCCCCCCCCCCCAGGGAGTCCCGACCTCCATTTAGGGAGCCACTGCTTTAAATAAAGGTCCAGCAGTCCTTCCTTGTTTTTGAGATACACTTGGGCTCATTGCAGGGCCTTCAAAGCTCATCACTTAAATCATCTAGTCTAACTAGCATGCTGTAACAAAGCATCATGTGTGCGCTTTCACTGAAAGTAATGAGGAGTCTGTCAGCAGCCTCTTCATTAGTCTGGAGGTCATGTTTGTTCAAGCAGGAGGCAAAGAGAGAGAGAGAGAGAGAGAGAGAGAGAGAGAGAGAGATACAGTTTACACAGGATGCGATGGATTCACGAGGGACCGATATGGCCTCATATCTGGGTCAAAGGTGACATCCAGCACATGTGCATGCTTCATGGTGAGCCGCTCCAGGTCTTCCCAGCAGCCTGTTCGGTGGCTCTGCAGCCCTCGTAGTAAACAAGAGGACCACGTGGTGCGGCTCTGGACTGTGATTGGCGGAGCGCAGCCGTGCAGCAACACACCCCACAGAGGTCTGTTGTTTACTGACTTTTTCTGCACTTCAGCCTGACAATACAGTACACCACATTCCTCGAATACAACGGAGCAACCAGAGAGCTGCTGTTTTACTCCTGTAATACATCAGTACCATCATAACACTCCTTCTGTAACACACCTCTCATACATTTAGTGTCATAATACCTAGAAATAAGATTACAACACACCAACAGGCGATGCAGTGATGACGTGCACAGCCTGCATGTTTGACCTCCTGATTTATGTCTGCATTATTTCTTGAGGTGCATCTTTGGGGTCAATTTTCCTTTCAGCTCTAATCGTCAACATGTTACTCCTCAAACATATACTGATTGTTTACGACAAACTGCTCTAAAGCCCTGTAACATACTGCAGCTGCAGTGTTTATGCATATTCTAAAAGATGCATAGAAAAGCAGCTCAATCATGTAGAAGGAAATACAGAGCGACACACTACCAAATAATCCTGGATTACAGGAATATTATAGAACTCATCTATATGAAATATCATAAAATCCTATATAAACCTGAGTATTACGAGGGTATTAAAGGGTTTTTATTGAGTTTTTGGTCATGCAACATGCATTTTTTTGCAGCTTCAATCACTGTACAGCTGCATGTAGTTTTATTGTGTGCACTGCAGTACTGTGTGTAGATATACTGTGTGTAGATTCACTGTGTGTATTAACAGAGTGTGTGGTGGTAACAAAGGGCAGCCTGTGGGCGGAGATCAGCCCCAACACTGATTACATAATCCAATCGGACTCTCCCTCGGTGTCCTCAGTGTGTGAGTGTGAGTGTGAGAGAGAGAGTGTGTGTGTGAGAGTGTGTGTGTGAGAGTGAGTGTGTGTGCGCACGTAGCAACAACACACAGACGTTCAGCTCGTGGGCTACGTGCTGACAGTGACGCGCCCGCTGCTTTAAAGGAATATCATCCAGCCCCACTTGTGTGAGTCTGACCCACTTCAATACTGAGGGCACCACACGTACATAGAGTTATTAATGATACAAGAAGAAGAAGACGAAGAAGAAATGTAAAGAACTCAAAAGAGCAAGAAACAAATATGAGCTGTTCAATGTTAGTTCAATCAGGAGAGACTTTTTAAACTCTGACTTTACAGACAAAAATGTTTAATGCTCTTATTTTGTCCCATCGAAAGAGTATTAGGGCCACATTAAGGGGGGGGGGGATTTGTACATTTAGGAGGATAAATTCGTAAATGTATGAGAATAAATGTGTTAATTTACGGGAATAAAGTAAAAGGTTTACAAGAATTAAATCCTACATTTCCAAGATTAAAGTCGTACTTTTCCGAGAATAAAGAATTACGAAAATACATTTGTAAATTAACAAGAATAAAGTCATAAATTTACGGGATTAATGTCGTGAATTCACAAGAATACATTTGTTAAAAATAAAAATTGACACAAATTAAGTAGCACATTTCCAAGTATAAAGTCGTACATTTCCGAGAATAAATGTATTATTTTAGTCTTCAGTTATATCAGAGGATCAGAATCCACCTGTTTGAAAAAGATGAACCAGAGCATCTTGTGTGAGAAAAAGGTTTCAGAAATAAGGAGATAAGGAGCTGGCACATCACAGTGTCATAAAATATCAGAACCCTGAAAAAATACTGATATTTGCTTCATTAGCTCTGCGATCAAATCACCCATGATGCATTTCCCAGCTGTTTGATCAGCTAATGATGACATCACCTTATCAGGTCAGACTGTCTGCTCTGCAGGAACACACTGATTACTGTCGGCCTGCGTACACGACGTGTTTGGTCGAAGCAGCTTCATAAAAGAACGTTTTTCTTTTTTTTCTTTTTTTTTTATCCCACTTTGATGTAGGAGAGCTTTCACTCGGCACCATTAAAACACCAGTTGAAATGAACTGGAGTTTCCTCCTCTTACTGGCAGCTGTGTGGTCGGTGAGCACAGCGGGCACGCAGACTGTAAATGTGTCAGAGGCAGCTGCGCGACGTGCCGAACTTGCTGCAAAACTTTCTATCGGAGCATGACTCAGTAAATCACACACACACACACACACACACACACACACACACACACACACACACACACACACACACGCACAGAGAGAAAGCGTCATCACGACGCACAGACATCATCTGATTCATCATGGATTTTGAAATGCTCCGGCTGAACTCCAGTCTTGCATCCTCCCGTCATCAACCGGATGACCGACTTTCACATAAACTCATGAAATGGTTTTAATGTCACGTTGCAACAAGTTTCTCTCTCTTTTTGTTTTAACTTAATCCGTTTTAATGTAGTTTCTGTTCTCAGGCCTGATGAACACACAGTAACACCATGAACAAAGCTTCGTTATTTACGATCACAGAGGTCATTTTTTATTTTTTTATTGTGTAAAGGTGAAAACAGTACAAGTGCTAGATGATACAAAACTATGCATACAAAGGGACAGCAGGAGGACAGTAAAGACAAAAACATCTGAAAGTACTGAGACATCAACTTCAGACAATACATGAAGTCACTTAAAGCTGCTAAGAGCATCGTTCAAGGATCTCTGTTGATTCTCCACGACTGCTACTTTCAGAGCCTCCTATCTTATTTTACCTCGTTAAATCTTTAGGTTGTATTTTCTCCTTTGTCTGGTAACGCAATTGCTCTTCGGGGGACAAATAAGTCGAGTTGAGACATTACCAAATAAGAAATCAAACTCTTCTGTTGTTCACACTTTATCATCAAATGAAGAGCTATGTCTTTAAATGTGGAGACTTTATTCAATCAAACATTTAAGATAAGAGGATAGACTGTGCATTCAACAACCAATCCTGATATGATATAAAGGATATAAAGGTATAAAGACTTCAAAAAAGAGTTCTGAACGTGACAATGGACTCTATACAACAGGAACAACGAGGCCCCGTGTCCACCTGCCGTTTTTCCTGAGCGCCAGCGTCTTTTTTTCCAATTGTTTTCAATGAGTAGAAAGCGCTCCCAGCAGAAAGCGGACGCCTGCAGAAAAAGTGCACAGCCCGGCGTATTTTTTTCCGCGCGCTCTGCCTTTTTGGTGCAGCCGTTCTGAGTGCTAAAATCTTTAAACTTTCCAGAAAGGCGCTGTTGACATCACCGCAGTATTTTCCAAATGTATGATATTCCCCGTAAATGTTGCCGCCTACTGA